TAATAAATTATTGTCAAGAAAAATTACTTCGTGCCGCTTCATTCGATTTACCATTGACTCTTTCAACGCAAACATCATCCGAATGTCAAAATTTGATTCAACAATATTATGAAATGCGCCAATTAATTACATTCGGTAGACTTATCGAACAGTCTCTCGAAAATTCTGATCCTTCTCTTCGAGTTATTTATACATATACGCAAATCTATCATACCATTGATAATCTTCCCGCTAATATCGAAGAAGTTAAATTGAGTGCTTTTCGAACAGAACTTGAATTGACCAGAAAAATTAAACGTCACTATCAAACGTCAACAAATATTCGTCTTCTTCTGATTCGCGTTGATTATCATGATGAACATCAACATTTTCTTTCACTAAAACATATTATACAAAATGAATATATACAATCCAGTAATCAAAGTGTTTGGCTTATATTTCATTTACAACGTAATCTTCTCAATCAAATAACCAATGATGTTCTATTTGGTGGTTGGTTAGTAGATATGATTGATGATCTCAATGATCGAGAGTTGATTCCTAAACACATATTAGATAATCCTTCGTACAATGATCTTGCTTGTCAACCAGAATATCGTCTATCTGAATGTCGATTCGATGGAGATAATCATTTATGTTCATCAAAATTTAATTTATTCGATACTATATTTGATGAAGTGGTTGACCGATGCCTATCGAAATTTCGTTATATAAATTTTCGAAAAACAGACGAAGAAAATATTAGCGAAAGACGTTCAATGCTTCTTCAACGAATTATTGAACATCGAATTAATTCAACATCAAACGGTCTTCATCTTCGTTCGATCATAATCGAAAATTTGATGATATTAATCAAGAAATGCCCACCACCTGATAAAACACGTTTTGTCGATTGGAGACACGATATTCTAACAAACGTAGTTACCATTGCAAGTTCGCGCTCATTCTATGATGCATTTCAAGTCACAATATCACTGTTTTACGAAGCCTATCTATCACTGCTATTGGCTCATCTTGAAAAATATCAGTTTTTCGATGCCTATTTCTTTCTTGCAAATAATCACGATGAGATCATGCGAAATTATTTATCCAAACTCTGGATAGATTCATTGAAAGCATCATTAGAAGCAATTGACATGACAACAATGAATCTTGATGTTATCGATATTTCATTGGTCTTTGGTCTTCGACTACCCTGTGCAGCAATTGAATATGAAAACATTCGAAATATTCGAAAGAAGTTAGAAGAAAGTGATCAGCCATTTTCATCAGATCATAATAATTATGATCTTTCTCATCTTGCTCAAATATATAAATCGGATGATGAGGATGACAAACTGCTGCAGATTATTTTCAATGAAAAACCGTGGTTTCAATTGTATTTTCGTGATCAAATAGCAATGCATTTAGCTGAATTTAAAATTCAACTTTCAACTGATTTTGTTTTTGATTTAATAAGCAATAATCCAAAGCAAACAATAAAACAACATAAACAATTGTTTCTTGTTGAATATGTTGAATTAACAGAAATTCTTCGTTTATTTGAAATAAGTTTAAAATTAGTTAGTGAAGAAATACCCCTAAATATAATCAAAAAACAATTGATTAAAGCACCACATGACGCAATTGAATCTTCAGAATTTCATACACTGGCATTAGTCAATAATGAAACATTCTATCAAATACCACCGAGAAAAACAACACTTGACAAACAATTCATTTTCGAACGTGAAGGTGATCCTATGATTGAAACGGGTCTAATGAATTTAATCGAACTCATTCTTTCGCCGCTTGTTATTCAGCATGCAATGAATATTCAAGAAATAACGACAACTTATAGTTTGATAGCCCAGGGAATTCACGATCTGGATTCATACAAAGTTAATAATTTGAAAAAACTTCGTTCATTTATTAGCCTTATTCGTTGTCTCATAACTCTACTTCCTTCCAATGCTCTTAACATTCTCAAAGATGTTTGTAAGAGTAATTTCGATGCAAAATTTGATTCATGTTCAAGTATTCATTATTTTATTACTCAATTGCAAGAACGTATTAAGCGAGAACAATCACCTGTTGATGAAACTGCTATTCATCGAGCATTAGTTAAACTTGAACTTGACTTTTTGAAAGATTTGTTAGCGGATGATATTAATTCCTATGGTGAAATTTTAGCACTTATAAATGATCCGCAAAATGATCTTTGGTTTTATTCAGCTAAAATCTTTACAGTGATCGATAATACAATTAATTTAACAAAAATATTGAAAGACAATCATGGGATTCATCCATCAAAAAAAGAGTACCAACAATTGAGTCAATCTCTTAAAATACCGCAAATATGTACAAGTAAAATTGAACGATTAATGGTCAATCGGCTTCATATGCATTTTATGTTAAATGCTCAAGGAACCGAAATTGATCAACAACTTACCGATGAATATGAATATTTTATTAAAAATTTTGGTAACATTCAAGATATTGATCAGCTAGATGGCGTTCAAAAGATTTCATTAATTGCATGGATAAAGTATTATGCACAAATGTATGCATTTGCATTATATAACGAAAGTAAAGAAGATAATGTTTTAGCTGACATCAATCAATTTCTAACCGCTGACAAAACACCATTAGGTATGACAATTAAATTATTTATCATCAAACAAATGTTAAATATGTGTAAACCTATGCCCGATAATATACATGATATCTATGAGTATCGTAACATTTATTGGATGAAATCGTTTTTTCAAAGTTCACAAGATCAGCAAGTAGGTCATGCTCATCAAAATATCATTATCCCGATGCCTCTGTTTCAATGTCACGAACAATACGAACGTATTCAAAAAGTATTAGCAAGTAAGGATAGAGATAAGCAATTAACAAATATTATTGGAGAATGTAATCATTCCCAAAAATTATCTTATGCTTTTCTATGTTGGTTTATTGAATACTATTCTCGTTTTACTGAGCCACATGTAGCTAAAGACAGTGAGTTTATTCGAACTATTGAACGTGAGTTTAGTAGTGATCTAATTAAATCATTCACACCATTGGGTCACCGATTTCTCATTGACTTATGCTCGAATTTTTCGGAGAAATCCTACTTTCGACTTCATTCTAAGATGGCATCGGATGAAATTCATAGACGTTTATTGGCTTTGAATATCGTCGCTGTTTTTATTTCTGCCCGATCGTATTCAACAATTACACTTCTTGGTAATTTTTTGTTCAATAGGCAACGACAGATGCCGACCAGTTATGTTCAGCATCTCTCGTCTATCTGCTTACCGGGTTTGACCACCAGCAATATAATTGCCAGCCAAATGATGTATGTTCGCACTCGAGTTCAAGAACGTCTTGATCAAGATGCTTATTCCGTCGAATATGGAAAATTCATATTCCAATGCTCAGAAGAGTGTCCGTGGATGTTCTTTTTCGAAGAATGCGGTGCTCCAGTCGTTAAAAGCGTGTGTTCTCTATGTCAAAAAGCGATTGGTGCCGAGAAATATAATGCTCTTATTGCACGCGATCCTCCTCAACTGCGAATACCGATTCCAGAAGCTTTTAAAAAAATCGACGAGTATATTAAAAAAGAAAATGAAGCTACTCGTTTAGGATATCATACTGTCAAGGATACAAATGAGAGTTGTCTAGGTGACAAACCGAATCATCTAGATCGGCCAGTTTCATTTCGTTTTATTCATTTTCTTACTCATGGTCTTCTTCATTTTTTGCATGATCGAAATTATTTGACAGATGATGATTTAAAACAACATCTCAAATTACCTACTACAAATCATTTTCAGGATCATTTCGAAAAAGATTATGATCTTCTCTGTCAAAGTTCAACCGATCATAACTCATGTTATATATGGCTTTATAAACTTCTCAATCATCTTATTGATGATCAATTCATTGAAAAAGGTCAATTAAATGCAAATGAAAATGTTATTCGAATTGAAAAGCTCATCGAAAAAAATCTTATTTTTAAACATATAGATTCGATTGAAAATGAAATAACCGAATATAAACAAATTTATGCCACATTTATTCAAAAACAGAAATCATTGGAAAGTTTTATTGATGAACTTTTCGAAGATGAGCAACGTTATCCACTATTGAATTTTTTCAATGTCACTACATTTCATACATCGAATCCATTAGATGAATTCATTTTGAAAATTCAAAATTTACCCTATGCGGACAAGACTTATCCAGTGACCACATATCTTCTTAAGCGTCTAGATGATTGTATGAATATTCACTATCTATATTCAATTGTTGTCTTTATAAATTATTTAATAGAAAAATTCAATCATCGAATTAAACGAACCGATGCTATGAATATAAAAATAAGTTACTATTTAACACAAGATGCTGATCGTGATATAACTGGAAAATTGTTCGATGATTTTCTTGATGCTTGGTATGCATTGACATTGGAAGAAGTTCGTTATGGATGTCAAACATTCAAATTCAAACGTGATCTTCCGAAAGAAAAATACGCTGAGAACACAAGTATGGCAATGTTATTATTAACATCATCGAGAGATGACACTATGATTTTACCAGCATGTTTAAAAACAATAGCGGATTTACAAAATGAAATTTTCAATTATTTTCATAATACTATTGAAACGACAGCAAGAACGAAGCGAAAACGTGTACCATTACAGTCGATTCGTTTGGAACACGTCTTGTCTCTTGATCGAAATTTTCTGAGTAGAAAATTGATTGACGATAGTCTTGTTTTAAATTATCAATATGGAAAAAGTAAAGATATTATTTATGATTATGAAGAAATTGAAATTACACTGCGAAATATGATCAGTAAATTAGTTTTAATTGATACAGATAAATTAAATTTGTTGACTTATCAATTTGAATTGTATGGCAACGAAGCATCCTTAATTAATGAAGTACGTGCTCGTATAGAACAAGAACCATTGGCAAGTGATGATCGGACAAGATTGAGTCGTTTAATTAAGACTATGAATCCAGATGACATTCTTCATTATCTCGGTTCACTTGACAATATTTTTACTTATATTCGAACCATAGCCGCAGAAAGGCTAAGGCAAAATATGACGGTTCAGTTATTTATTGAACAATTTATTCGCTCAAAATCTCGTTTAAACGATAGTATTCTACGTTGGACAGATTTTTCTGCGGTTCAATTACGATATATAATTGATTTCTATGAAATGTTTGAAGAAATTGCATTTGATCAAGTCTTGCGTGTTTACATAAAGAAAGAACTTGCTGGAGAAGCATTTAATCCACAAGAGCGAAAACGAATTATTGACGCATTTTGTCGTGCAACATTTGAAAAAGAAAAAATCACTGAAAAACTCAAATCAATTGATATTTGGATTGCAATGCTCAAACGATTGATAGTACGTATTTTGAATGCAAACATAAGTCTCGATGTACCATTACAAATTTATCTTGAACGAACGGATTTATGGAGTAATGGTATTAATTACGAAGATCTCTCAACGTTTGAGGTCGAAGATGATATTTTATTACAACATACTTATGTAATTCTAACTGGTTTGGAAAATAAGAAAAAAGCAGCCAATCAATCGCAACAACCTGGGATCGAACAAAACGTTCAAACAGTTGAAGGGCAAAGACAAATAGCTAATACATGGTACACTCAAACAGCAAAGGCAACAGCTAGCACTAAAGACATCAGTGGTAAAAAAGCATCTGAAAAGAAGGATCATTCATAATTTTCTAATTAAATTCTATTATCATATATAAACGTGCAAATAAGTAACCGAAACTTTCGCAAATCTAGCTTTTCTACGAGAACTCAGAACGCTTTTGTCACTGCAACAATAAATATGTCCTACCTAGAATATAACTTGTGTGGGTGTAATGTGTAGTTGTTATACGTCCTCTGAAACCCTGCCACTTGCATGCCTACACCCTCAAGAATAATTAAAAATTATGTTAGTTCAGAGAGTATTAGCAAGGTAAAGCGCATCACAACAACCAATGTGATTTGCTTGAGAGAGAAGTATGACGAGAGTATCAGCGAGATACTTTAAACCAGTCTTCGATTCCATTTTCCCTTGGCTGCGTGTGTGGATGTGTTTATAAGCAACACGTTAGTAATTTAAACTCAAACGCACTCTGAGCACAGTTTCAGCTGAAATTAATAAGATGCGGGCGCGACTAAATCATTTGAAAAACAGGTCAATGAGTGTAGGTCAACTGAAAACATACAGTTACTTACACCAGTATCGAACTATCAAAATTGTGTACCCTTATTTTTAAAGTCCATTTTCTACTAAATACCATTTATTTTAAAATCTATAGTACACGGCAATTTCTTCTAGTTTATGAGGACTCGATCAGTTCAATCTTTCATGATAGCCAGGGGAAAAGCATCATTTCATTTTCCAAATTTCGAACGTTGACAATTACAACATATGCTTTGCACCATGAGCGGCCAGGCATTTTAATGACAGAGAACAGGTGAAACCAGATTTACAGTCAAACCTGAATAATCTACGTGGTTTTTTGAGGTTCCATTTGGAAAAATACGCGAAACTATAAAACATTACAAAGATGCACATTTTAGATCTATATTTAATGGAGCATTTAACTTTACTTGGACCCAAAAAATATTGAATATAATATCGATCAATGTCTACAATCAGCGAATGAAACCAAAGAAAAACGTACATAAGTGTAAGGAACTGATAGATTTTTATGTGCTTGCACTTGGATACCGGATTATTTATTTGATAGATTAATCAGATGTAGTTTGAATCTTTCATCGGCCTCTCGCTTACAACGAGACGTGATGGATGGAACATAAGTAATGACACCTTACGTTTTGTTTTCCATAAAACTCCTCGTTCTATTCTCCACAAAACCTTGTGTGATAGACTTTGCTTTAAGAAGTCATGTTAAAATAATATGTGTAGCCCTCGATAAGTTTCATCTTAAGCTGGTATTCCGAACTATTTCTCATATGAATTAAATGGAAAAAAGAGCTCGCTGTTCATGCGGTTCGTGAGTTTTGAAAAACTCGTTGCTGCTCAATTAGATATCTACAAAATCAATAAAAACATTGATTTTCTCTTCAAAAAAGGTACCTATTTGAAAGTATAGTACTTTCGTTCCTAATAATCTTCCTGAATGAATTCTTCAGTATATAACCTTGCTCGGTAAAGTTTTGCCATCATCAACCTATATATGAATTGAACAAGAAAACGTTGAAGACGATAATCAAGACGCAATGGCAGACAATGAAGAAAATATCGTCTAGATACGTAAGGTATCATTCCGTATGGTTCATTCGTTACTCTGCAGTTGCCAGTATTTGAACTCATCTTTTGCTCATGAATCAGCTTAAATGACTGAAAAACGAATTGGTGTGTAACAAGTTTTCTTCTGTAAATATTCACGGTGCGAGCAGTAGCTATTATGAATATGTATTTTTTGCGTAAAACAATATATACGATATTTTGTTGACGTACATATTTCAGATTCAGGGGTGCATATACTTTCGATATATTGAGGATGGATATCGGCCCAGTCTATCAAATATGCGCACTCGCATCCTCAATATTGGAAAACAAAAAATATCAAAACAATAAAAGCATCTTTTTCTGTGTTTCCTATATTGGCCCAGTCCGAACAGAGGTGGTCTTAAACGGCCGCATACGAAACCTGTCATCTTCGCCGTGAGAACATGAAATACTGAGAGAAAACTGTGAACAAATATATAAGTAAAATATATTGGGTTTTGCTTTCTTTTCATGTTTTTTGTTGTTGATTGCTTTATTCTTTTCTACTTATGAAATAAAAACAGACAATGAAGTTAAATTAGACATCGCTTCAAAACAATACCAATCAATACTGCTATAAAATTGAGAAAATAAAGGAACTGCTGTGAATCCGAGTTGATATGATAAATAATTTTTGAAATATATTAAAATTTTCTTCACTGGCTCGAATGATTATTTTTTTCAATCAAAAGTATACTGTATAGTTTAGAACTAGCGGTGTTACTCTACTATTAATAATAAAGATTTTTGCAGCGAAATAAAGAATAGGAAAGATAAAGAGTCATTCCTATGCCGACTTAAAGATGAACTTCAAAAGTAGCGTGGTTGATTTCAGAAGAGTAAAAATACTATAGGTCAATGAGAGCTTCGTACTAAAAACGAAATCCGTTTAAAATGATAAATCTCGATGTTCGATGAGAGCGGACCAATTTTTATCATCGCTCACGCCACCGATTAATTAATATATATTTTTTAACGAATTATAATTGTAGATATAGAGAAAAATAAATCGTTGAATCACTTGATTTATATTTTCGATATGCAAAACAGTCAATTAGTGTATCAATAAATTCCGTATACGTAAAATTTTCATAATAATAATAAGAAGAAGAAGAAAAGACGATTTTATTTTTCCACAATAACTTTTTTTAATCAGCCAGCTCAAATGAAAATCTGATTTTTTTTTTCAACTGTTTTCTCTACAACAAGTTCAAGTCATGATACTATATGTACTTGCAATAATGCATTATATCATATGAAGAAAAAAAAAGAAAAAGAAAAAGGAGAATCGAAAAAACATGATCACTCTTTCGAACAAGGAAATGTTCACACGACACATGTGGCATTGTCACCAAAAATCGATCTATTTGACCAGAAACTATTCATAATTAAGTATCATTGCTTTTCAAGAGGTGTTCAATCATTTTTTAATCAAAATCAAATGAACTTTGCTTGCCGAAGGAAAATCTAACCTTCGGATTCAACGAATCAATATACATAATAAAAACTAAATTTCTAATCGTGTTAATTATTCGTATAAGTTAATGATTGGCAGAGACAGATGTAAAATTGTTTTCCTACTTCATCAAACTCTAACCACTGGCAGCCCGGATGTGATATAGGCTAATTAGAGAAAATAGGAAGAGGCGACACGCTTCATTGATGTCCTTGGAAATTTTCATGGCATAGTTTCAGTTTTGTAACTTTTATTCTTTTCTAACATTTCGTCCGTTAGATATTTCCTGTTGACAAATTCACTTTTTTTCTTCTCCGAAACTACAAGCAGATCAATAACACACTTGTAGAGCATGTACACGTACGTCTCTATTTGTATATCACTTTTTCATAACCACTTGAAAGTATCAAAAAATTCTAACATGAAGTCATTTGTACAACAAACACTGTAACGAGAACACAATTTTGGTCCTTTTATTCTTTGCTACTTGTCCACGACAAGATGTCTATGTACATATTAATGAATAGAAAGAGAAACAAACGTCAACTGAAATGCTCTATTTCTTTTTCTTGATAAATAGATAATGACTATTAATCAATTCATAGATATAAACAGGATAAATAATTACTTAACAACCAAAATTGAATACAAGCTGCTCATCATAATCGATGAGAAATTAGCGTCTTCTTCTTGTGTTTAGCTAAAAGAGCGAACTCAATAAATTAACTATAATCATCCAATGATGATGAATTATTTCTATTATTGAACAGAAAAAAAAGCAAGAACCAATACAAAATTTTTTCTTCTTGAATGAGATTTTTTTCTTCTCCTTCTGCTTTTTCTTTTCTCTGCTTCTCTCCTATTCATCCAATGGAATGTAAGCTCATATTAAGATACAAGTCAAACTCTTTTTAAATCTAACTCGTTCTCTGATATTCGTTTACATATTCATCATGTCATCAATCTTTCCAAATTGGTTTACTGAAACGATGTTACTTCATCGAAAAAATTTTGGAACCGAACAAATCAATGGAGATATAACCGGTGAGAATTAAGATTTCAAATGTAAATATATCTAGATAAAATATATATCATATTTAGCTGAACGTTTAAAATATCTTCTTGGCATTCAATATTATTCAAATTTATTTTCACCATCAATTTTAAATCTATCGTCATCAGGAACAAGTGAGAAATCGGAAAAAACTGAAGAAGATGAAGAAGAACAAGAACATGAACATGAAGAGCACGAGGAAAACGAAGAAACTGATACCTATAAATGTAATGATTGTGACAAATATTTTGCAACTTCTCATGGCCTAGAAGTTCATGTTCGACGTACACATTCATCCGAGTTAAAGCCGTATCCATGTGATTTATGTCCGAAAACATTTGGTCATTCATTATCACTTGCACAACATCGAACAACTCATACACAAGAACGTTGCTTTCAATGTAAAACATGTGGAAAATGTTTCAAGCGATCGTCAACATTATCGACACATCTATTAATACATTCAGATACTCGACCGTATTCATGTGTTCATTGTGGTAAACGATTTCATCAAAAATCTGACATGAAAAAACATACATATATTCATACGGGTTAGTTTCTTGCGGATGTGTGTGTGTGTTTTCTCTTAAGAAGATGAACATTTACGTATTAACCAAATGTCAATGAATCTCTCTTGAGATCGCATGACGATAGCCATAGCTGAACATTGATAGAAAATTTCTTGTTAAATATATGCATACTTGACGATGGTAGACGAATAGTAAAATATCTTACGCGTAATTTTCACACATTTTCCTTTTTTGCGTCTCTTCTTTGGATAGATTCAATTCACTTTATTCGTTTATTCTCTTGAGATAATCTAGCGGATCCTGATAAGACTTATCATTTCTTTTTTTCTCTTTTGTTTTCTTTTGTCTATCCGTATTCATCCATAAACAATTAATATTTGAAATAACAAGGGAAATTGAAATATATTTTTCTGTTTTATTTTATATTTTAGGAGAAAAACCTCATAAATGTATTGTTTGTGGCAAGGCTTTTTCTCAATCATCAAATTTGATTACACACAGTCGTAAACATACGGGCTTTAAACCATTTCAATGTCACAAATGTTTACGTGCATTTCAACGTAAAGTTGATTTACGTCGTCATATCGATACACAACATGGTGCCGAGCATCTTCATGGAAATTTATCTTTAAAACCAGCTAATCATCATTTACATCAAAACAGTAATCAAAATGAAATGACAAGTACCAATGGCAAATATGGACCCATTGGTTCATTGATTCAAGAACTTGCTGCTCGACATTGAACCTTATCAAACAAAAAAAAAAACACAAAATTAACATTTAAAACTTCGCATGATTATTAGTATTTTTTTTTCGCTTGTCTTCTTATTCTTCTTTCTCTATTAAAAACGATGATCCATATGTTTTGGGTGTCAAATTGAAAGCGAAAGGCGGTGACGACAGAAAGTGTGAGCAGCCATCTGGCTAGGATGTGCATGCGTAGATCTATTAGAGAAAAAGAAAATTTTGATTGAGAATTGCAGACAATAGGTGTGTGTGTGTGTGTGCTAGGTACTGTTTTATTATGCGTCACAAATCTAACAGAAGAAGATTATTAATCTCACATCGGTTCTGTGACTAGAACTCATTTTTTTACACAATAACAAGAAAAGATCTATTAATCACAGGTCAATCTATAACTGCTTTTTTTCTTGACAATTCTTTGTTTTTTCTTCTTCTTTCTTTCAATGTTTTGCGTTCACTTTTGTGCAGATCGTCCTCCTCTTGCTTCCCTCCCCATAATGATAATCTTTAATGTCAAATGAAAAATAAATAAACGCTTGCGGCTTGATATCCATGAATTGTTCGTATCGCGGCTTCAAATCAAAAGATTACTCTCATGTTTCTCTCCTTTTTCTTTTTGTTACTCCACGGCAGGTGTTGAACGCGTGTATGTGCAATGATGATCATCACTATCCCAACAATATGTTGAATTGTTGCTGATCGAATCGTCAAAATTGACAAGTTGTCTTCACCCTTAAGGCAATGTAAAAGCAGACAAAGGAAAACGAGAAGAAGCAACATAGGACACAATAATAAAAGAAAATGAAATACAGAAGACCAGTTGGTCAATCTTGCTTCCGGGACGGACAGAGCGAAAGAAAAAGAAGCCTTGCTTGTGAATTTACGATTGAATTAGCAAAATGACAATTAAAAATAATCTATGTATATCAAGTATTTTTTTCTCCCTTCTGATAAGTCTTAATATATAAATGTACATGTTTGATAACATTGATCAATAAGTCAATATTTGATCTTTCATATAACGTAATAACATGCATATCCACTCGAGAGACAAAATTGAGGGCGTTTAAGTACGACGAAAAATCTACACACTTGCGAACTCATCTTCCATCATACGTTCGATTATAGAAAGCAATCATCAACGATTTAAATCCCATGTGTATGTCAAACAGCAAAACGCTTTTTTGCCACTTATTACTATTACTAATTCTTGCAATAGAAAATCATCTTGCCGATGAAATATGTCATATATAGAGTAGAATGGATGGTACGACAGTTGATGTCGAGATCGAACGAATCATCAGTGATTAGGTTAATCAGACGCGTAATAAAACACGATGATTGCATTTTCTCGTCGACATCATGATAAAATTATCATTTATTAAATACTTGTGTAATCTACTGTATTTCGTTATTTTTTTTAAAGATAATAAATATAAAAATAAAATGTTTTAAATCGAAAGAACAAGTTATATCTGCTTGAATTCTCATAGAAAAAAAAAGATTTTGATGAAAAGATTTCATGCTTAGAATTTATGTAATTACATATGAAAGAAAGAACGCATTCAACATTTATCGCGTGTTCTCATTCCAACACGATGGCCTCAGTCAAATCGTTACTGTAACTAACTGAGTTTTCAAGTTCAATTTTGATCGAAAACAAAAAATGATATTTTATAAAGCATCATTGTCAACAAGTACTTTGCTCCTCGATGACGTAACGAATAAGAATTCTCTTTGATTAAATAGTCGTTCTTGTTCAAGTATTTTATTATTTCTCTCGTCATATCATCTGTTTTTTTCTTCATGTGCCAAAAAAATGCGGATTGAACAATGCAAAAAACAGAAAAAAATGATGACACAATTGACACATAAAAACGATGATGAATATTTAAAAACGGTAACAAATTAATTCTTTTGCTTTTTTTTTAACCAAATATATCAAGACCACCCATATCATCATCATCGGATTCCGGTTCTGGTTTTGCGGGTGCTTTGGCTGCTGGAGCTGCCGTTTTGGCAGCTGGTGCAGCAGTGGCTGGTGCTACAGCGGCGGCAAATTTCGATGGATCTTTCAAATATTCTTTCAACTAAAACGAAAACAACAATAAAGTTATGATAGGATAAGATCTCAGCATCGGAAAGAAAATCTAAAAAATTCAACGGACTTCAGAACGCTGTTGGATAAGGTTATGATTCATCAGTTGCATATCAGTAGCAGAACTGGATAAAACATTCATCATTTGTCCGTTTACTGTTAGGTAGAATCGATCCGTGACTATCTGACAGTTTAGACTACTAAACTAAATTTTTACTTACAGTTTTAGCTTGTTCGAAGTCGACATCAGTTTCGGCAGCTAATGCAAGTAAACGTTTAAATCCATTCATTATAAGATGAGGCGCTGATGCTTGATTTGGATAGTTGATACCAAGTGAAAATGCTGCTAAACGTTGAACACCTTGAGAAAATTTCATACGCAAATCAGCTGGCTTAATATCAAGAATTGATGGGTCGAAGCATGAACCAGAATCATAAACTAGAATTCAAAAAAACAGCCTTCTATTTTAAAATTAATAAAATAAAATAAAAATAATTTTACCTTGACGAATAATAAGACCATAGCTGAAGGGTGAAATGTTCAACATATTAAGTAATGTTGCTTCACTAGCACCAACTTTATCACCGATTTTAATTAAATGGACGTCATTCTAAAAGTTTCACATATCATGTTTTTTCCTTATGCATCTATATCAAAGGATTTAATCGAACATCAATCAGTGTTTATCCCTTTGGACATTCAAATATTCTTGACTACTATTAGTTTCTGTGTATTACTGCAAAACAAACAGTTATTTCGAAAGTTTTCTTTTCTTTCGCAATTCCTTTTACTTTTCAAAACAAATTTGACTTACAATAATTTCAATAGTACCACGTGTAATTTTTGTCGGAATTTGAAGTGCTTGAAAAAAGCTTGTTTTTTCAGGACCTAAACCAGTTACTTGAGCGGGTATAGTAACATCAACTGGCGCAATAGCACCGGCGCGAGCTGGAGCAGCGACCTGAAAAAAATATATAATTTTATCTTCATGAGTAAATTCTCCATTGAGAATTCACACCTTGTTTTCCAAAAGTTTGTCGCGAATAGAACTTAAATCATCTTTTGTAAAAACAAAGCCAATGTTTTCATAAACATGTGGTAATAGTTTGTCTAAACTTGAATTTTTTGACGTTTGTCCTCGAATTGTTTTACGCATCATTGTATTTTTTCCCATCATAAGAACTAAAAAAAACAGAAAACAAAAGATCATATGGCGACGGAAGGTTCACAGTTCGAAATACGTTACCAGCATGGCCACGGAGAGATACACGGATCTTTTGCATTTGACGCGAACCGACATTATCAGCACCAACAATGAATACTTTCGGATATTCATCCAAATATTGCTAAAAGCAAAGAAAAGCAGACAAAATAAAAAGTAAACTCTCAGATACGCATTATTCTCAATGTTCCCGAAAAAACTCAGAATTGCAGAACACATTAAAATAGAAGGATCATCATTGAGCTTACCGTTAAACGCATTGTGTATTTAGCTTTCCATGTTGAACGATCTTCTTTGACCATTTTTTATTTTTGGTTTTTTCTTATATCTGAAGCAAAACAAAAACAGCAAGCTAGCAAGAAACTTGTTCAGAATAAAAATGACGAACACTGGCCTATCAATCGGCCTCCATAGAAATAAATAAAAACAACAACTATCGATGAGTACGATTTTATTGTTGAAGAAAACAAATTATAAATTTTTTTTGAATCAGTTTTTTCTTAAAATTGTGCAGAATGTTTTTTCTATCGTGTGATGTTTTCTTTTCTTCAAAAAAATAAAATGAATGGAGGCTCACGTAACATTCAAATGGTAGATAAACCAATCAAAATGATTGTTTCAATACGAATGCTGCCAAATGAATGACAATACATGGCACACATTGAAACGGCCATGCTTGAACCTGTAGCAGCTAAAACAAAAAATATAACATCTTTTGTTAAACAAGAACGTCCAAAACGAGAGTGCCGTTCACGTAAACGTCGCTATGATATTGAACAATATTCAACAAAACGTCATAAAAATGATCAAATCGATACTGAAGAACAAGATGATAGCCCTTGTACATTTCGTTTAGCCCTATCGGATACAGATGAAGAAAATGATAATGAATCGAAATGTTCAACAAGTGATGATACAGAACCATCATCAATAAAACAAGTTGATGATAATAGTGATATTGAAGAAAATGAAGACGACACAACGAATATCTATTTTTCGAAACCATCAACTGATCAACATCGTCACATTCCCGTAGTTGCCAATGAAGCAATTCTTCAACAACAACAAGCATTAAGTCGATATTCAAAAAGATTAATTTCACAATTTAAATATTTATACGATCAAGGCTTAAGAAAAACAATTCAACCAACAACTACATTAGATTATTCTGATAATCAGAATAATGAAATTTATCTTGAAAAATTACGATGGGAATTAAGAAATACATTCAATCGAATTGATCTTTTTAAAGAAGGTTATTGTGTTTTATCAAATGAACCTTTTCCATTCTATTCACTTTGTTATATGGTAAATATTTTTTCTACAAATTATATTACAGAATCAATTTAAAATTGTGCTCAGAAATAAGTCAGTTCTACTATGAAAATTTTAGATCGTAGTATTATTTCTATTCGAAAAGGGAAATTAAAAGGCCTCAAATGTTCACGTAAGAGTATTATTGTTAATGTTTATCGCCATGCAAAGCTGCAACTCAAACATAGTCTCGAGTCAGAACGATTTTATCACTCCGTTTCTTTTTTTCAACTCGATTATGTATACAGTTAAGATTAGATCATATATATTTATGCCATTTTTAATCCATAGTGAAGACCAGAGGAAACATGAAACTTCTTGCAGTACACAAAGAAAATTCATCAAGCACAGTACTTTCTCAATCAAGCAAAGACTGAATGTTCGTTCAATTTTTCTTACATATTCAATCCTTGGCTTAGTCTAATCGATATTTCATTCTTAATCTAGTAACAAATTGCACGTCTCAACCTTTCAGAACAATCGTGTAATATTTCTCTAATTCAACTATTCTAACTTGGGAATCCCTGAAGTCTTCTAGTAGGCTCATTATAGTTCTGATATTCAGCTATTTCTATAAATAGATAATCACTGTTCAAGGTTTACTTCTTGTCATCTTTTTGCTTCCTCACAAAATAAAATTCATAGAATTGTTCATGATAGTCTCGAACTATTTTTTTTTCGATTTTAGTGTGGTTCAGTGGGTTCAGATTTGATCTATTGTAATTGTTGCTGTGAAGCCTATCATCCAACTTGTTTAAATAATTATGAACGTCCTCAATTCAATTCATCATCGGACTCGTGGCTCTGCCCAAATTGTAATGTATGTAATATATGTGGCTTATTAACTCATCCAAATTTTTTATCACGCATGACCAATGAACAAAATCTATCATCTCAATTGATATCGTGTTTTGATTGTAAACGAAACTTTCATTTAAAATGTATAAAAAGATTTAAAGACGATCAACTCAATGAATTAAATAATCTCAACAATAATAATAATAATATCAATAACAATTCTATAGTGTCCTTATCACGTTTATCAAATAGTTATTTAATAAATCAAACGTGGTTTTGCCCATCATGTATTAAATGTGATTGTGGACAACCATTAGTATCCAACGATCGTAATATACTTTCGTTAGCAAAAACATTTTCATCTCAACAATCACTGATGTGTTTTGATTGTGTAAATAGTATTAAATTAATTCGTATGCAAAAAAATGATAACATTGAAAAATGTCATCTATGCGAGAAATATATTGAACAAATGTTTCCTAAACAACAACAAAAACAAATCAATTATTTCTTACAATGTATTAAATGTAGAAATCGTTTTCATCCAAAATGTGATGGTTACTTAAATGAAGATGCAGATATCATACCACATATTAGACATTTATGTTTAAATATTATATGTTCAAAATGTGATTCAGATGAAAAAGAAAAACTTAAAAAATCTTTACTGGATTATAAACTTCAATGTAAGAATTCATTGCTTCTTTTTTGTTCTCGTAGTTAGGAAAGTCGTAGTTCGAGTACTGAGCAATAGTATCGCGGATAGGACTGAGAATGTTCTGACGTTTTTTCTTCATTTTATTATAGGCCTCAAAACAATCCTCTCGAGTATTTTATCAACATTACAATTAATTGTGTATGATGAAAATCGACTAAACAAAATTCAATCTTATACATCAAATCTTCAAAAATTACATGAATCTCGTGAACAAAGTTTAAATCTTAATATATTTCTTAATGATTTACTTACACTAATTCGACGTCTTCTCACTAGTAACGATATTTACCGTTGGCAATCAGCTATCGATGGTTGTATTATACGGCAATGTCCCTGGTTTAAATCTTCACTATTATTATCATCAAATAATAAAACATCGAATTCTTCATCTTCATTAAGCAATCATCATCATCATTTTCAACCACCACCATCAATGGATCATACCTATGCTTTCAATAATGAACATAGTTTAAATGAAAAATCAATAAATTCATTATTAAATTATCTTGATCAAAATCAAACAAATGAAATCGATCAATTTAATAATTTCCATAAAGTCGATAGAAGAAAATGTCAAATATGTGAAACATTATCCGATCATATAGTGCCGAATATTGGTCGTCTTGTATCATTCGGTATTAATCAATGGGTACATGTTGGTTGTATACTTCCAGCGTATGCTAAAAATCTCGATCAACCTCCATTTATATTACGAAATATACGTGAAACAGTAGTTCGATGTCAAACAAAATATGTATGTGCAATATGTTCAAAATTGGGTGCTAGCGTACATTGCCATGAAAATGAATGTTATCAACGTTTTCATTGTGCTTGTATACAAAAACATTATTCAACAGTCGATAAAAATATTCAAGAACAATTAAATATTAAAAATGGATATTTACCTAATTTAACAACATTATGTTTAAAACACAATGGATCAAAAACAGCAAATAATGCAAAACGTGACAGTACTGATGGAGTTAATCCCGAAGAACCCAAAGATACTTCGAATAATAGTATGTAATTTTATTTGAAATTTGTTTTTTCTTAATCAAATTCAGAGACTAAGAACATACCAAAAAACAAAATAATTTTTATAAAATAAAAATTAAAGCAATCAGTTACAACGCATTATTTCTATTTTAGAAAAGGTGCATATAGAATAAAGTGCAGGGTGCGTGGGAATGTTATTAAAAAATATACAACTTAGAAAATAACCTCACTTTGAAATAGTAGATGTGCATTTCTTTTTTGTGAAGATTTTCTTCTAGCGTACGATTATGAGTAAAACTTTCACGATAAAATCTGTTTAGATGCTACAAATCTTCCAAAAATAAAAACGGTGAATACTTCGTCAACTGTTTATGGTGATCTATCAAATAATTTAGTTGAATTCGCTTTAATCAATGTTCGTCTATGCATTGGTTCACTACAAATCGAATCGTTGGGTAATTTCGATTATCAAATCGACAAAGCTGATGAGAATTTTTTCTCTAATAAAAATTATCCAAATAATTATCGTGCATCACGTTTATTTTGGAGTATAAAAAATCCTCATAAAAAAACTGTCTATCATTTACATATTAATATTGAACAAACTTATCATAATGATGAAGCAAATCATAAAGTTATCGAACATCCGATGGCCGATAAACAGATTCACGTGGAAGAATTATATGATATATGTCGGAAGTACTTTGACAAGTTTCAAAAAAAAATTGATCAACATTCAGTTTATATTGAAGAATTTTGTCAACGAAATTCAATTAATAAAAAACCAATACCAAGTCAAACAGCAAATAGAAAAAGAGCAGCTAATGGTACTGGTCTTACAAAACGATTAACAAAAGCAAATCCATCCTGTGTAAAACGACAAACACCAAAAGCTGCCTTGAAGAATGTTTCTCGGCCACGCAATAGATTTGCAAATGAAAAACAATCGCAAATGTCCTTAACAATAAAACAAAATCCTGCAAAAGATAATTCAACATTGACTGTCAATAATAAAATAAATGAAATACAAAATTTACTTCCGGATGATTTCTTAAAGTCAACTAATGTATCACAATTTGCCTTAGCACTTGTACAAGCACTTCGACATGTTGGACAATCAACTAAAATGTAGGAGCGAAAAAGCCTAGGCGACCATTTGTTTCTCATGAAATTAATTAATTTTTATTTTAGACAACAACAGGAACCAAGTATGAATTTTAATTTATTAAATCCAATGAGTCATACAACGAATGGAATAATAATGGACAAAAATAATGATATTCTTTTAAAGCAGCTACTAAAAAATATGACAGTATCACAGCAATTGAATGGTATTTATTAAATTTTTCATAGACAAATCTAATCAAAATGTTAAAAGTCACAGTTCGATTACTGAATAGCTTCGTATCTTTTCAAGGATTTTATAGAGACAATAATTTCCTATCGAAGGATTAGGTTGATTGCAAATATGATCGCTGTCGAGTTTAATTATCAAGAGTGATGTGAAGAAGCGAAAAGTCATGTTTATTAATGTTCTCTTATAAATGTGAAAACCCGACGCATTCATAATAGACCAATGAGCGATTTTGTATTGACAAAAGTTCTATTGTCTTGTTTGACGTCAAACTTTAGCTTTAAATAGACTTGTATAATAAACATACTGCACGAATAGAAGACTTCCTTTCGGTAATTAACATCTAGTAAAAAAATAAACCTTAGATTAGTCAGAAGGGTTGTTTCAAGGTTATTTTTTGTGACCTGAACAACTAAAGACAACAATGATTTATACCATATTTAGCCTATCAAAACAACCTACCCTGGAAAAAATTTCTTTTGTCCTGAGGACTTGACGAAACAAAAAAAAGATCAGATGTCTTCTATTGTAAAATTGAATAGATAGAAGATATTATCGAGGCGCGCTAGTCCAATTAGAGAACCAAAATACCCTAGCATTCATCGTGTAAACAATAAAATAATTTATTCAATGAAAAGTGAATAAATAATAAATTTTTACTACGACTGTTTTCTATTCAGATTCTCAAGTATCGACATTAAATTCATTGCAATTATCTTCACATACATCTCAATGGCATTCGGCTACATCTACGCAAACTGAAGTACTGTCAAAATCACACGCTGATTCTCAACGTAAAATTGATTTTCTCATTTGTTCTCTATTTATTTTCGTTCGTTCTATTATAGATTCCTATGCACTAGTAAATGGTTCAATACCTTTAGTAGATACAACTGACAATACTTCTAATTTATTTCCCAAATCAACATGTATACCACAAGTAGATGGTTCAATCGATGATGATGATGATGACGACTGTATTCGCGTATCTTCTATTGTGATAAATTTTTTAATTGACGAAATCGATAAATCAGATTCAAAACATTTTCGTACCAATAGTGAATATTCAATAGATTTATCTGATTATGTAAATGCAGAAAAACTAGTAAATCTTACTCCAATATCACCTACAAATCGTCATCAAATACAAGATTCTGAAAAGAAAAAATCTCTATCGTCTGATGATCTTATTCAATTATATAAACAATGGTCAAAATCGAATTTTTCTCGTGTTCAATTTACTATCACAAATGACGAAGGTTATGAAATTAAATCCGATGATTTAGATTCAGCATGGTCGACCATTATTAATTCAATACGTAATTCTCGTGATGATATGAATTTACCACATTTATCAATGGTCCATGATGAATTAAATGGACATAAAATGTTCGGTTTAACAAAATCAATTATTCAAATAATGCTCAACCAAATGTATACAAATCAACAGCAACAAACTGGAACAACAATTTTATTACCATTATCATCATCATCATCATCATCATCATCATTATCATTGAATACCATCAATAATAATAATAATAATAATTCAACATGTTCAATAGAAAATTTTACTAAGAAAAAAATGTTATCATCAAGTTCAAGATCAAATACATTTGATAGAAGAACTCGTGAACGTCAACGATTTGGTTGGTTATTAAATCATAGCAGAAAAATTGAATATGCACTCAAGTCTTTCGAAATCGATAATGCACTCGCTTATGCAAGGTAAATTTCTTTTCCTTTTTGTTTTTGTTTTGAAAAACATAATTCTGAAAGATCTACAACGACAAGAATATATATCGGATTCTCATATTAAACTGTATCTCTTCTTTAGACGAATTCTTCTTGAAGAGGCATCGGTTTGCTTACGTCTATATCATTTACATTATTTTTCTGAACGTGTTTTACTTGTTGGCTCGTCTCCAATACATGGCTGTGGCTTATTTACTTTAGTAGATTTAATTGAAGGACAAATGATTGTTGAATATACAGGCGAAGTGGTTCGACCATGCCTTACAGATAAACGTGAACGTGAGAATGAAGGAAAAGTAAGAAAATAAGAAAAATAAAACATAAAGTTTCACTATGTATTTTGTTAGGGTTTTGGCTGTTATATGTTTACTGTTGATTCAATGAATGTTATCGATGCTACGCATCGCGGAAATAAAGCTCGATTTATTAATCATAATTGTGAAGTAATATATAGAAACGAAATATTTCACCAAAAAAAATGATTTTATATAATGTTTTCTATTTTAGCCAAATTGTTTTGCTAAAACTGTTTTATCGGGCGGTATTAAGCATATTGTTATTTATGCACTGACGGATATTTCTCGTGGATCAGAATTAACGTATGATTATTCATTTCCCGAAGAAGATGTTAAAATTCCTTGTCATTGTGGGACAACTAAATGCCGAGTTTATTTAAACTGATGCGATCTATTTGTATATACATTTATGTTTATTGCTACTAGTCAATACACTTGTTTTGCTCTCTCTCTCTCTCTCTCTCTTGTTCTACTCTCAGATTCGCCTTCTTTATATGTTGATTTACTTTATGTAAGAGTGTATTTTTTTCCTTTTCTTTTTGATATATGTATTATAGAAATAGATAAAACGAATAAGAAACTATTAATTAAAACAATGATTTTTTTTCTGTGAAATTTATTTCTACCAGATCTGAAGATCTTTTAAGTGCTTTTAGAGTTTGTGATAAATTTGAACGTGTTTGGGTTACATACTCATAGATGCAAAACGAATGTAGAGATCTAATGTGTTTATGGTTTGTAAGAAAAGCTCAAGGGCATTCATTACCATGACTAAATCTAAAAGACTTCCGTGACTAAAAATGAGCCATACCAAGATATGAGTCACTTAAGTATGAAGTAATCATAAGCCTCTTTTCTTTATATATATAATAATGCTCCGACCATTTTTTTTTATAAATATAATGAACAATCCATTCACATTATTTGCATTCAAAGCTCTTCTCAATCAGTTCTACAAAGAGAAAACAATAGAGTGAATGAATAATATTGTACTTATGCGCTAAATCTATCAATTTAGGCTTTACAATCATTCAATATTCACCGGATATGTGGATTTAATCTACAAAACAAAAACGAATATGGAGCAATTAGAAATTAACTGATTAAAATGAATTATTAGTTGTATTATCTTAAAAATAGAATAATTTTCATCTTTTGTCTTACACTCCGAAGTATTCATTGGAGAATACAAAATGACATACAACAGTTTATTCAACATTTATTATCCTGTTTGAACGGTCGATTATTTGCAAGACACGAAGTTATTCATTCCTATAAATTACAATAGAATTGACGCTAGATTCATGAAATCTTATGCTAAAAGAAAGCAAAAGATATACCTGTCAGAAATATAATACGTTGTAAAAATTTCTCTTTCGAACGAATGATCTATAGATCCTGGAGGACGATCTTTTTTTCCACAACGCAGATACAAAATGTATCGTACAATAACGATCCAATTCCTAAGAATATTCTATCCATAATATATAAAATACTCTTTTACCTCAGAAAACTATTATTAAATAAATAGGTGATTATACTTAAAACACAACGAACTTTTTATGAGACGTGTTTTTTAATCTCATTTGTCTAAAATATTCTCGGCTCTTTTTACTTGATATTTCCTTTAGGTATACTATGTTGTTTCTATTTTGTATTCCCAGTTAAGTGCAGCCAATTTTATAGTCTATTTCAAATATATCATTAAAACATCCAGGCAACCGTATTTAATAATTCTATCTTGAATTTTTACATATTGATTGGCAACTTTAATTACGTCCTTATATGCATGCGACTATTCAATAATTTAAACTTTTTATTTAAAAATAGGAGCTCAAAAAGAACGATTGCAATCGAATTCGTTTTTCTTCCAAGAAGATTTGTGAGTCATCGTTCAATTTTTTACTTGCATAAATACTATAGGAATTCAAGCATAACAAATTCATATTGTTGAAAACGTTTTACTATCGAAAGTGATCATGTTAAAAATACGATTATTCAAAGCATAATATTATTTCGCATCAGGAAAAATAGTTGACATCAAATTATGAATGCTCAAGTTGTTCTTATAGGACATCTTGTGATGCATATAATATGATTTTAGATAACTTTAACCATGCAGCGAAACATGGCTAACATATTATTATTATTCATTTTGACCAGAAGTATCTTTATATACCTTAGTCGAACTTTTGTTTTTGCAAACGCATGCAATTCTTGACTTTCTTGATCAAGAAAGTCAAGAACTATGATGGACACATCTTGAGCTCAAGTCTTAGCAAGCGCATGAATAAAAAAGTTCGACTAGGGTAGTTTGTATTTACTGCACATATGGAATATGAAAATAATTTTTATTCTAGTACATCGAAAGAATTTTCATAGCATTTGTGAAAGAATTCTTTAATAGTGTCATAGTTCTCGTTATTTTTTGATAGAGAAAGCATATGATTTTCGTCTCATTGTTCGGGGTTCTTTTTCCTATGAAAAGAAAAGAAAAGAAGCATGCTAGCTTCGTTTGATACTCAGCATCGAGTGATGATCCTATTGATGAGAAGGAAAACGAGGGTGAGCTTTTCTCTTTTCCTTTTGTCGAACTAGAAATAAGAATACAAGGAAGAGAAAAAAACAGCGTAGCAAAGACAGCCCATATATATATATATAAGTTACTTGTTTAGCTATTCATTCATTGGGGTTTGATTATATTCTACACATAAGACTGAGCTTCTCAGTCGGTTCGATGAAGTCTTTTTCCTCTTGAAATAAATAACGAGAAAAGAGCGCTGACTGAAAAAGAAGAAAAAAAGAATATCTTGTTTTCCTCTACTACTATATAGGAACGCTAAGAGAAGCGATAACGACGACGATGTTGAACGTAAGACTAAGAAAAAAATGCTCATATTCATTTTGACTCCACTCTACTTTGATAGTGACAACACCAGGCACTAAAGTGTTCTCTCTTTTTTCTCATCTCTCTTTTCATTCTCTTACTTCGTAGACATAAATAAATAAATATATATATATATATATATTTATACATCTTCGCTTATTCAGAACTCATTTCTATATGAGTTTTGAAAGAACGGATCACACTCAACATAAAACAACTTGACAACATATAAGCGAGATATATATTTCAGATGGCATCTCACATGTCGTTCAGAACATCTGGACTAGTATTAGTAATATTTACTATTATTACCATTCAATCGGCTCCTATTGAGAAAGATAAAGAAAGTAAATACAATTTTGTTTTACAACAGTTCGATCGTAGTTTTTATTATTGAATTATTTTAAAATTCATAGCTGTTCAATTGCCTTCGGTAATCAATAATAAAGGGGCTGACGATCAACATATTCTTAAATTTATTGATTTGGTTAAAACGGCATCAATCTCTACTAGTACCCCAACGACGACGACAACAACTACTACTGTTTCTCAAAGTTCATTAAAAGCAACAGCAACAACACAACAAAAGACTGATAATAAAAGGAAACGTTATATTAATGACGATGATGATTGGGATGATCGTTTAGAAAATGAAAGTAATGAATTAGATTCTTCTCAATTACAATATTTTAAATATGACAATGCTGGTGATAATATCGAGAATAGATTACATGCTAAAATGAAAGAAACATCACCTACAATCAATGATAATGCAGATAGTAAAATTTATCTCTTGGCTGTATGCTGTTTAGTAACATATCATTTTTTTGTTTTTAGAACCAATTAATACAGATGATTCGAAACTTTTTTCTGATATTAAAATGACACCAAATCAACAGACAGATATTGTACGCCGACGTCGTCATGTTAAATTAAATACAAGACGTAAACGAGCTGCATCAGCATACGATTTTTATGATACCGATTCGGTATGATATAATTAAATTAGATATTCTTCCTTTTTTTTCTAACTTATATTTAGTTAAATATATAATTGTCTTCATCTTTTATTTCGAATTGGAAGTAAACACTTCTGTACTCATATTTTAATAGTTTCTCGTTTCATTTGATGCGTCATCGAGAAAATAACAAACACTCAGAAATATTACTACGCATTAATGTATCTAATTGACATTTCAACCTTGTACTTGAACAGAAGACATGTCAAAACAATGCATAAGAAATATAAATAGTTTAGTTTTTCTATTTATTTATTATTCCGATAGCGTTAAAGTTAACACTAAATAGATTATTTTTTCTTTTTTTTGTAATTTTAGTTAGATGAACCACAAATTGACTTGATTCAACGATACCGATATATTCGTCCGACTCGTTCATTTATGTAAAGATTTCTAACTTTAATTTCATGTTACTATTTATACAGATTTTGTTTTTGTTTTGATTATTTACATTAGTCCACTCTATTGGTATCCAAGTTACAATCAACGAAATGCTCGTGAAGCTCTTCTGCCATCCTTCTATGATTCAGTAGAATATCCGCCATCATATTTAGAACGCATTGGTAGTAATGATATAGAAGAAAATTCAAGTAAATAATTTGATTTAATCAAACAATTTATTTTCATTTGTGCTTTAGTACCAACAGTTGAAGATCACCTTGAAGATGAAGATGAAGATGAAGATGATTATGAATCAAATCGTTATCCTATTTTATTACCATCATATGATAACACATGGAATAGTGAACAATTACAAGAAAGATATAATCGAGATGATATACCGGTCGATGAAGATTTTGAAGAAAATTTAAATGAAAATGATGAAAATGAAGATAGTGATGATGAAAATGATGAAAATGATGAAAACGATGATGATGATGGTGATAACGAATTTATGTATCAAAAGCAACGTCCATATAATGTAAAATTCAAAATGAGTTGAAATTTTAACGCAATGAAAATTCTTTCATTCTAGAATCGTTATGGATTTATTGAGACCTATTTTTGAATGAAAAAAGAGAGATAGAGTATGTTGATGATTTCTTAGAGTTAGTTTGCATAATTAAAAACATATTTTGTTTTTGTCTTGTTTTAGAAAAAATAATGGTGAACCAGACAAACAGTCTTTTACAAAAAAAAAAATAAAACACAAAATAGAGAAAGAAAAAAGATATTCAATTCATTTATTCTCTCGAAGTGTTTTGATGATAAGACATCTAATAATTTTATTTTTCTTGTCGAAAAAAGAATCAGCAATGCGCTTGTTGTTTCTTCATTTTTGTTTAACGCTCTTCTTGTCAAGCATATTGATCAATATTCATGCACATTTGATAGGAAGGTGACGTTGAAGACCTTGCTTTTATGCTCATAATGTTTTGCCCTGGGCAGTTTTTTTCTCGATGGTTATTGTGTGAAACAGAAAAAAGAAAATCGAAGTTCATTATTCAAACAGAGTCATGAATAAGACAGTCGAGAACTTTGCAGTACCAGCTACATGCACTATTTGTCAGACAAGCCATGGTTTTAGTTCAGCTGATCGACGTGCCATCATTGTTATGGTTGTTCTAACTGGTGTAGCGCTTATCTTATGCTATGTAGCTGTACTATGGTATGCTATTCGAACACGTTTTATTCGTAATATAAAATCACTGATTATTCCGGAAAGTGCACATGAAAATTCAGTATCTGATGGCGATGAGGATATAAAGGCACATATGGCTAGGACAAAAGCAATGCTAACGCAACCTGCTGTATTTGTATTGGGCGATGATCATGATCGATTTTGAAAAACGTTTATCATGTTTTGTGTTTTCATCGTATTTATAATAAATGAGAGTTGCTATTTTTTTCTCAATAAGAAGTTTAGTGTAACGAAAGTAACATGAGACTGGCAATAATTTGTCAAGGAAATTATCCATTTAGTTTTTTGCTTGACGAGAAAATTATAGAACAAATACATCTTGGCATTAAAGTGAACAGTCACACAAACATACTTTCTTTTCAAAACAAGAAAATACTTCATTTCAGACGTAAAGTGCTCTTTGTGTTCACTTTTATTCATAGAGATTTTACAAAGTACGACTATTTAGAATGAAGTAGTATTGAGAACGATTTACCAGTTCTAATTTGGCAATTATTCATTTCAAATCAAGTATAATCTTAAGGCTTAGATTATTGACTTATAGATACTGAAAAATAAACCTTTTCAAATGATTAACATCCCCTCTTTTTTCGTTTTTGTCTTATTAATATGCCGCATTATTGCTGCTTACTATCAAGTGTTAAATATTAATATAAGTGTTATTACTCATGAGGGAACTGTTCGATTACATTGAACCGCATAAATTAGATATATGGAAAGAATATCAAGATTACAAAATAAAATAGGGGTTGTTTTTCATATTCATGATAGTTTTGCAAGAATTTTCCTAAACAATAAGATATTTACTGTAAAGCTTTAAAAAAAACAAGTACTTCGAATTATCAATAAGCCTATTAAGTATGAAGTTACAGCTTGATTTGATGGCAATTGAGTCTGTACATAGTCTGGATCTGATGAAAACATAGTTTAAATTTCTTTACAATTGTTTTGCCCGTACAATCCGATTAAGAAAAAGTGAATGCATAAAAAAGGTAATATTTCCGTATATTACAGTTTTTATTTATATTATTTTCATTCATCTGTTATAAATAAATGGTTCGTGAAGTCGCTCTTTTAGAGTATTGATGGGTGTTGACACATATGATAGCCTTCTATTAATATGAGTTCGATAATCAAGTTCTAATTGATATAATTCTCTATTTTTGGCATTCCGACTAAAAAAATAGTATAAAATAGTGCCACAAAAGAAAAAAAGTAATAACAAAAATGCACTAGTAATAGTAATGATTAATATCAATTCTTGTCCATTATCATTTTCACTAATATCAACAAGACCAATATGTTTTGTCGTTGACATTGCAAAAACAAATAATTTCTTTCAAAATGCGCCAATATTAATTTTCATCAAATATCAATGTAATGAAAAATAAGTTATTTTTAATTAAAAATTCAACTCAAAACTTCATTGATTTATATGTACGAAAAGGTAAGAAAAAAAACTACAATGAAAAATTGATTATAGACTGATGTTTTTATACCTTCCGATACTATGTAATAGGATGATAGTTGTACGACTGATGTGGATGTTGTTGCAGTATTTGCACATAAAACTAATGTTGTTGGACTGTTTGCTTGAGTACCACAATTTTGCAAGTAACCATAAATAATTTGTGTACGATTTAATACTTGTGTTTGAGCTGTTTCACTTCGTCGTGCTGAATTTATTGTTGGTTGTAAACCAAATAAAGTAAAAAATGTCACAATTAAAGCAAGTAGTAAGAGTCCAAGCAGTATTAATGCCCAAACAGGGCAACCATAAAACCATTCACAACAACCACATGATTTATTCGGTAAATCACAACGTCCTTTACACCAATTACAGTAATAATAATGACGATATTTATAATCAGATTTATAAACTTTTCGTTTTCCAAAATCAAGATCTGATGAATAATAACCACTGTGAGTACGTGTACGACGAACATGATGAATAAAACGACGTTCAGGTACAATGGTTGTTGGCGGATCATTAATAATGGTTGTTTGAATAGGTGGTCGAGGCGGTAGAATAGTATGTTGCTTAATCACATGAGGACGAGGTGTAATTGTTGAATTTGTTGTATAGGAATCTGTTGAACTAGTTGTATAATTTGATAATGTTGATGGTGAACGTGTTCTCCGACGTTGATATCGACGTGTACGATACGTAGGTCTTTCATGTATTGTAGTTGTTTCAACAGCGGGTACAACTGTTGTTACTTGAGGTACGGCTGTCACCGATGATGTCACCACTGCTGGTACAGTTGGAATTTCCATGGGTCTAATAATTGTTGTAGTTGTTTTTGTTTCTTCAATAACAGAATCATCATCATCATCATCATAACTATCAACTAGTGTTGGTAGAGTTTTTGCATCTAAAATTCGAGTAGATGTTTTTGTTGTTGACGAAACATTTGTTTGTGGCGGATGCATCGAAGACGGTGGTGTTTGATAGCGTACAGTTGATGGTATTTGTTGACGTATAATATCGTGTGATGTTGGATAAGCATCGAATAATGAAGCTGGTGGTGGTGTTGTTCCACGACTGGTTGTATCTTTCACAGTAACTCTTTTCGGTTCTACTTCTTTTTCAGGAGATTTTACAGTAAATGATGGTGATGATGAGAATTGTGGAGCATGAGAAGCTCGTTTAACACGAAATACACGTGGACTACCACGTCTAATGATTGGCGGTGAAGAATCACGCGTTAACGAAGGACTCTCAGCAATAGGATATGCATACGAATTGGTTGATTGTAATTGATTATTATAATTTAGAGTTTGTTGTTGTTGTCTTTGAACATTTCTTGGATCCATACGGATTGTTGTTTTAGTCATACGACTTTCACTAGATTTATTTGATATTGGCATTGTGCTTTGATTTCTTTCTGTTAGAAGAATGAAATATGAAAAAGAGAAATCGTTGCTCAACACTTCTGAATCGGTGGGTGGTCTCCTGTTGTCTTCGTGATGTAAGAGAAACCAACGAAACCATTCTGTTTCTTATTTTTAGAAAAATCATTCTTCAATCAACAACGTATTCGACGTAATATTATATTTACAACAACGTCCATATGGGATGCATTTGATATAAAAGAAGCAGAAAAGGCATTGTATGAACAAGAAAGAGATAGTCGTGGAATGTCTTTGAAAAATATTTTCTTAATATGTGGCTGTTGTTGTATTATTTTATTAATTTTACTTACTGCTTCAATGTATACAACACGAGAACGTATTCACAATCAAAATAAAATTATTCAAATAATAAGTCCATCGTCAATGATAAGTAATACCAAGTCATCTCGAAGTTCCAACAAATCAACTGATTAAATTATTTATTTTCGTTTCTGCGTGATTGTCTATTATTCTAATAAAACAGTGTTGCCAGTTGGCAAATGATCTTACGCTATAGTTCGGACAACTTATCAGAAACCATTGCCTTCAAGAAAGTTACATCGATATGTTTTTTATTTGATGTGAAACATAGCATTTCTTCAGTCCGTCGCGTACGCATCCAAAGTCAGCATTTTTGTGACGCGATGATCTCTATATGATAAAAAAAATTCCGATTCCTCCTGTCGAATCTGATTTAGGCAAAGCAAAATATGAATCATATTTTTCAGTTAACCGATTCGATGTAGTGAAACTTGGTGTTGATTTCCCTTAGTATTTAAATAAAAATCGGAAGAGAAAACTAAAATTTTACAATGCAAAATTAATTCCTTATGAATGACGATGATTGAAGGTCTGATAGTAAGGGAATAATTTTCACTGGTATCCTGCTAAACAATTAAGCAAACGAATGGATTAGCACTTTGCAATCGAATTCTATAGGAAGATAAAATATATCATGAAAAAATACATAGGTCTGTTCCAGTTGTCGAAGTACCTTCATTTTTGTGATTTTCTCTCTATTGGATCGCAACGATTTAATCAACTGGCATTAATCAAATACTTTCATTTGTAAAAATGAGGAAATTTAGTTAACTCATGATGCAGTAACAATACATTCAATGCACTGTAGAAAAATAGAAAAGAAAGTCGGACAAATGTTGTTTCCTTTTTAATATTTTATTTGAATTCTAGTTAGAAAAAAAAGCACAAACCAGATCATCTATATGCAAATCTTTTCAACGAATATACATATTTTGGATTGAAAATCGTAACTTTTTAATAATATTAGAGCCAAATACGTAGCTCATCATTTATATGAAATTGAAAATGAAAATGAATATTATTACCATGAAACGTTTGATTATGAATAGCTGCCATTAATTTATCTCTGAACATGATCTTATTTTCGTGTTTAGATCGATAACGAGAATTTTTGTTTAATACTAACGAGGAAAGGTCCCTGAGTGTATCTCCGGGATTTTAACCAAAAGTAAATGGATGTGTCAGGTCAAGTATTGGTATCTCAAATATATACAAATTAGCTGCCCAGAGCAAACGAATCCAAACATTTAAGTGAACAAATTTTTTTATACCCCGAGGGGTACCACCAGTACTTTGTCATTAAAACAATTCGTCCCTGGTACCCCTCGGGGTATAAAACAATTTGTTCACTTAAATGTTTGGATTCGTTTGCTCTGGGCAGCTAATTTGTATATATTTGACATACCAATACTTGACCTGACACATCCATTTACTTTTGGTTAAAATCCTGGAGACACACTCAGGGACCTTCCCTCGTTAGTTTGAAAACGTTATATAAATTAAACGGAGCAGTAAAGAAAATTTTCTCAATATTTTTTTCTCTTTAATTTTAATTACTTGTTTCTCTTAATGTCTAACAGACGGGCGATTATGATCATGGTATTAATTTATCTTTATTATTCACTTATAGTAAACGATAAATGTAAAAAAAAAAATTATATTTATGAAGTAAAGATAAATCAATAAAATCCTTATTTCAAAAGGTGAAGATAAATACAATCTTCATTTAGAAAAAAATAAAATACCGATTAATCGCGATTAATAATTCCGATTTTTCTACGATTACGATTAATCGAGTTTCTTTTCTATATCAAAGTATATTTTTATTTTGATCATGACAACATAAAACCGAAGAACGAGGAAAAAAAAGAAGACTAAAAGAGAAAGAAAATATGGTGACGAGCGCACGTGTAAAAATAGTGTTTGTCTATTGAAAATGGCATGGTCCATTGATTCAAGTAAGCTAAAGTAAGTGGTAAAAAAGCAAGCACGTTCGTCAGTGATAAATACGGTGTACAAGTAATTGCAAACATACCAGAAAAAACCTCGTACTGTTCAATATCGTTTACTAAGTAAGTTTATTTTATTTCCAACATTTTCAGACTAATCCAGTTGAAGACAGCTGAATTCGAGCAATATTCAATGTAGAAATGCTAAAGACTCTGTTATTCAACTTTTGTTTTTTTGGGTAACATCGCTTTTTATTGATGGAAAATGGCAATGCACACACATAACAGAAACAAAACAGCGTACAGTATTGTCGAAAAAAAAGCTGAGAAAGAAGAACAAAAGGAGACATGATATTAGTCTTTTGTCTCGAAGTGTAGTTTGGTCGTTTGATATTGCTTTGCATAATGTGATGATAATGTGGTGTTTGTAGTTGTTGAGGATATCTCGTTGATGGGTCTTCATTGTATCATCGTTGTTTCATAATATATCTGAAAGTGAGCGGTAGGAAACAGAAAGAGCTGAGTAGAGAAAAACGAATCAGCAAATAGGTTGACTCAACGATGGTCAAGTTTCTCGAGGATGATATTATACTTGTAGGTAGGTAATTTTTTTTCATTTAATTTTGTCAAGTAGATCTTGAAGATGTTTTCTCGATGTAATGTCTTTATTTGCTGTTGCTGATTGGATGGGCTGTTTTAGTAATGTCGTTGCATAATCCTTGATTTTTGGAATATTACTAATTTTGTGGATGTAGTCGACTGATGTGTAAATTGGTAGACCTAGTGCAGCTCGAAGTGTTTTATTTTGTATGATCTGTATTCGGCTTCATACATTTTGATCAGCAGTTAATAGTACCAGGTAACCATATATAATGATTGATCGTGTTATTGATTTGAAGATGTTGATCATCGTCCTGCTGTTGGGTTCGTATGCTGTTCTCGATAGATAACGAAGTACACTGATCCGAGCTAGGAGCATATCTTGGTTTCGATATGATCGAGATGCCGTCGCCAATTTAACTGCTTGTGTATAATGACACCCAAATATTTTGTATGATCCAGTGGTTTAATAATTGTATTATCAACTTTAACTTCCACTGGATATTTATACTTGTTCCTTGGATGAATGGTGAAGTGGATCATTTCTGTTTTAGTTGGTTTCAATTTTAATTTTCACGACTTGCACCAACTTTTGAATGCATCTATACGGATTGTTGAAATCTGGATGATAGATATGTCATGATGTTGGATGACGTCCAGAGTGCTGTATCGTTAGCGAATAATCCATGTTCTGTATGAGTTGGTATTTCATTCATCGAATCTGCAGTATACATAATATATAATAGTGGTGATAATGGAAATCCTTGTGGAGTACCGCTCTTTAAGTTGAATTGTCTGCATAGGACATTTTCGATTTCGATTAATGCGATTTGATTTTTTAAGAAATGATGTTAAGTAGTTGATGATGTACTTATGAAGTCGAAGATCATTTAATTTGTGTATCAGACCGTCTTGCCATACTGAATCGAATGCAGCTTTTATATCGAATGGAATAACCGCTGAGTGTCTTCGAGCACATCGAAGTTGATTCTGAGCGTATCGTTCTAATCGCAGAATGTTGTAAATTGTGCTTTTTCCTGGTCTAAAGTCGGCTTGGTGTTCTGGTAAGATGTTTCTTCGTTCGACTTCAAGCATTATTCGTTGTTTGATTATTGTCTCCAATAGTTTGCCTAAGCAACTAAGGAGACTAATCGGTCGATAACTAGACGGATGTTGCTTGTCTTTCTTCGGTTTCATTCTAAGTATAACGTTAGCCGTTTTCCATTTCGTTGGAATATAACCTTGCTTCAGAATTTGATTGAACAACTTAGTTAAATGCTGAATAAGTAATTCTGAAGAATTTTTTAAACACCTATTATGAATGTTGACTGGCCCAGTGGAGCTATTTCGAAGTTGTTTAATATGGTATTTAAATTCTTCTATTGCAATTTGCTTCCACTTGGTTGTCATTGAAGAGGTTACGTTTTTGTTCTTGATGTTGCTTGCTTGACTTGTTACTTGATCATGAAATGGTAGTGTATCATCAGTGTAAGAGTACACATCATTTTCGAAGTAATCCGCAGATAAGTCTGCTTTTCCTTATCTGATGTTGCTGCCGTGTTGTTGTATGTCATGCTGCTTGCGTAAGTTTGCTTGATCCTTTTGTTATGGAACTTGCGAACCGTAAGCCAAACCTTTTCCGAATACATTTTCTGATGACATAAGGACGACATTAATTTGCTAAGGTTGTCTCTTCTGCCATTTCTAAGTGAGCTTGCTAGTAAGATTCTGGAGTTGTAATACTGATGTTTTCTATATTGTCTCCGGTCCTCTTCCATCTTCGATATGCTTGATGTTTCAATGTGATCAAGTTCTTGGATGTTTCACTTAATGCATAATTTTTGCTCGTTGGTGTAGATATTGAAACGGTTTCTTGAGTTGCTGACATTATACTGTTGGCATAATAAACATTGAATATTCTTCTATGTCTAATGTTGAATTAAAACTATGATCATTGTTTCATAGCATCAGTTGTTAGTCTAATTTGGTTCTGAACTTTGTCCATTTTGCTTCTTTAAAATTAAGTGATAATCTTGGAGAAGTTGGTTTCGGTTCAGCTCCAATTTGAATGTCGAATGTTAATGACTTATGTCCATTTATTGTGCCAATTGTGGGGTGTGTTTCCACATTTGTGATGAATGATAGCAGTGGGTTACTTCCTAGTATCCAATCTAATTTGGCTTCGTTTTCATTCTTTTTCGAATGTTGTACTACCATCGTCGACATATTCAATGAGATGTTCCTTTAGTAATTCTTGAAGCTGTTTTCCTCTGGCATCTGTGTTTGCTGATCCAATTTCATATAATGTTGCGTTGCGATCACCTACAATAATGCAGTTGTTGTTGATGTTGTATAGATCTTGGAATATATTCATACCAATCTTAGCTGTTGGTGGAACATAGATTGAAGATATCAGTATCGATTTGTATAATAGCGTTTCAATTTGAACTGCTATTATTTCGTTCTTGTGTGTTGTTTTATTGATAATTTCTCGACATTTAATGAGTTCTTTGACTGCTAATAATACTCCACCACCAGATTTTCCTACTCGGTCATGTCTGAAGATGTTGTAACCCAGAAGAGAGAACGGTCGTTCACTCTTTAGATTAGTTTCATTTACAGAGATGAAGTCGTATTTGGAGAATCTGACTAAGAGTTCAATTTTGTGTTTTGTAATTGAGTCGATATTAATGTGACAGATACTAATCATTATTCCAGTTTGTCTTGCGATCTTTGGTATCCATTACCGTCGAGTCTAATGAACTGTCAAGAGATCGATTTCTTTTGGATGTTTTTGCTGTTGGCTTTCGGTTAGGTGTTGGCTTTCGGTTAGGTGTTGGCTTTTTTATACTATCATTAACCGTAGTAGATGATTGTGTTGATGTTTTATTTTTATTTATAGTCGTTGGTGGTTTCGCTGTTGTTGCAGCAGATGTAGTGGTTGGTTTTGTAATTTGTTACTTTGGTTTTGTGGCTGTTGTAGGTTGTTTTTGTTTTTTGCATTAACTATTTGGATATCTTCATCACTATCCGATAATGATGATGATGATATTGCATCGTCGTTGATTAAGGTTTCAACTGATGAAATAGTTTGTTCGATTGTTTTAATCTTCTGTTGCAGTGATTTAAATAATCTTTTGGTTGTTTCTTCAATGATTTTTTTCCATCTTGCTGGTAAGTAGATTGATAAGTTCACCGAGGATATCATTATGTAAAAAACCTTGTTGACGTTGATACATGTTTGGTAATGAAGGAAATTCATTGCTATCATGTAATAATGGTGTTGTAGTTGTTGGGCTGCTTATGGACGAATATTGATTAATTAAATTCAACATTCGCTTTTCTTGTTCTAAAAACTTAGGACAATCATTAGCAGTTGCCAAATGTTTACCTTTACAGTTGTTACATTTAATTGCATCATTTGCAGCAGTGCATTACTCGATACGATGGTTATCACCGCATTTAGCACATATTTGCTGTTTTGTTTCGCAGTACTTAGCTACATGATTGTATTGAAGACAAATGTAATATTGTATACTGACTTTTTATTTTGTGGAGCAGCTTCAGCATTAAAGTGCATCGAATCCGCTTGTAGTCCAGTGTGGATAAATGTGTTTGGATTGTTTGCATCCTTAAATGTTACTTTAATTGTGCTTGTAGGCGTATTGTCATCTTTTCGGTTTAATCGAGTAACATTGATAACATCAAGACCAACTTTATTTAATGCTTCGGTTATTCGATTTTCGGGTATCTCAGGGTCGATTCCCTTTACGAAAGCAATCATTTCTGTATCCTGGATTCTTTGTATTATTCGAGGAACGAATAGATTTGCTGTTTGTTGACCGTTTGCTGTAAGGATTAATGTAAATTCATTTAACAGACGATTAAACGAGCTAACATCACTAGCATATAATGTAAATCATCCAGATCGCCTAAGTTGTATATCATGAATTTTAACATCATTTAAGTGCTGCTTCAGTATATCATTAAGTTATAGCTTGCTGATCTTGGCTTTCTCTATAATAAGAGAAACAATGGTAAATTTTGATTGGGTGGATTTTCCAGCTAATGGCGATCTTCCATCTTGTGTATGGCCATTTTAAACAGCTGATTGACTAAGTTCGCTATCGAGGTGTTGGTTCCGCTGCTTATCACCGGCAACTCCACCTCCTGTTTTCGGAGGCATTTCCGAACAACACCTAGAAATTATATGTAAGTCTTGACTCAAATATTGATGAAAGAAAACTTCTCAAAACAGACTGAAAATATATCCAGAAAAAGAAGGGCAAAAAATCGAGGCCACTCAAGTGCAAAATACGGATAAATTCAACCGAGAGATCTAGAAAAATGCGACTGATCGCTAGCTAGTCAGAAAGACGAATGTGCTATTTAACTTAAATTGTTTATAGATAATATAGAAAAATCATAGTGAATAATTTTTAACGTGAAGAAATTGGTATTCAATTAGAGCCCAACGTTTCCAAAAAAATCGAAACTGAGAAACTTTTCAGGATCCGGCTACCCGGCACCGGCACCGGAATCGAAACCATGAGATTCGTAATTTTTCTAATGATAGCTACAGTCATCTATTTTATATAATTTTCGTCGCTTCTATTACTCGAGTAAATTTTCCATCCAAATATCACATTAAATTTTCATCTATACCATATATTATAGTGTGGGTGTGTGCCTGTGTTTACTATTTATGTGTGATTCAGCGTATATCTACTATTTCCTGTATTCATGTGCATCTACGGATGTCTGCGGTTTGCTGTCCATATCTGTCCTACGGTGCTGATCCTCTCCCTTCGCTACATCATCTGAAGCGCTGTTTGCGTGGCTTCGCCTACTAGGTGAGGTGGACAGCAGTGCAGTATGCATGGCTTTTACGCTGAATTCTGACCGACGTACCTGATTGGGTCTACCTCTAAAACCAGGAAAATGTTTTTCCTCGTTAGTTGACGGGAGATGCCGCATCTCTGCGCAAGACGCGGCAGGTGTGCGGGAGATACAGAATGAGCGTGGTTGATTTCTTATATCTAAAATATTTGTATTTGTTGGGAGTTGCCGGGGATGGTGTAGTGGTTCTATGTGTCTAAGTTAGATATCAGAAGGTTCGACTTCTTCCCCCTGCACGGTGTCATCGTTTACAAGATATGCGGTATCGGAAGAATAAATAAAAGAGGGATGTCCAAGGACTGAGGATTAGGAATTCCTCATCAGTTCCCCTACAGTTCCTTGCATACTAAAGGTAAAAATTTGGAATTTTCATGATAATTTTTGTTCGTACACTTATTTTCACTTGCAAAATTGTGAGAATCAATGATTTCGTGTAAAAATTATTTTTAAAACAGCAATATCGCAACTTTCGTGAATGGGGGAACGGTTAACTTGATTTTTCATTGACATATAGAACCACGTAACCATCAGTGGCACCGATTTTTCGCAATAAAACAATAGAATGCTTAATCTCCCATATTATCTGGTCATATAAGATCTTATTGATGAATCATACAAGAATCTTACCGTAATTCTTGATGTAAGATTTCAGAGGCGACGATTTTTCGTCGGGTCTTACATGATCATGTACGATAATGATGTATGATCCGATACGATCGGATAAGAATCTATGACCGATCTTGCTGTCTGATTTCTCGCCCTGGCAATCATTTTTAATTTCTTGTTTTTCTTGTTCATACCAACACCGTTTTTCATCTTGTAAATAAGTAATAGTTTGCCAGATACGGGATGACGTGGGGTATCGTAAATCTTCGTAAAGTTGATTCAAATCTAATAACCATTGATATATATTCGACATTTCATCCTGTGTTAGTAATTTAATTGATTCTAATTGCTGTTGTTCGTATTGTCGATAAGCATCCTATTTATCTAACGTAGATAAAGCAATTTTGGTAGATTGATTCTTATGAGTACCATCAGAATCTTCGATTGATTGTGTTAATGATGGAGGATTAGGAAGTTCCAAAATAGAATTAGATTCATTTTTAAATTGTTGTTTTGATCGAGTATTGGCAGCTATGGAAATTATAATCAGTTTTTCCCTTAACGGCACATTCCTTTCGCAAAGAAGGTTCCTCGAACATCGCTGCCACCACTGTAATATACTGCACCACCAAACAGAAACATTTATGTCTGTGGGTTCGATATATGTGCAATATCTACCATATTTATTTTTACCAAGTGAAGTATAAATGTAAACAAAAATGAAAACAAAGAAACGACAATGTATCACAATATATATGGGCAAACAAGAATGATAATAGAGGTCAGGCCGTGACAATTTTATAGGCCCATCTGATTCTTGCATGAAAAGATGACCCATACATCAAAGATTAAGATCTCTAAAATTCAAGTTATTCTAAAAAAGCTAGCTACCTTCAACATTAAAAAAAACTTGATGCGTCGTAACGACGGAAAAAGTGTCAGAACGTTACCTTTGATTTTTTCAATTTTTATACAAATAGTAATATCTAGGGAAATTATTTTTATCGTTCGAAAGTTCATTTTATGCTCTACAAGATTGGTGCCAGGGACATTTTACACAGAGATTGCCTTTCGCAGTAAATTCAAGGTTAAGTGAGACAACTCAAAATTTAGGGTCCTGTTTTGTTACAGTGCTACCCGAGTATAAACCATTCCTGGAATATCGGTACTTTAACCGAATACTATGAATTTTATACTGTAAATAGAGCTCCATGAACTGTATTGAATGACCTTCGAACGAGCTTTTTAGCTGTAATAGTTTTCGTGATATTTGAAAAAAAGCTGTGTCAAAAATGTCACAGTGTTACGCTTGGACAAGCCGTAATATGAGCATTCGAAGAAAACGTTTTTGTATAAGTAAAATTTCTTTGTTATGTTAAAAGTCATATGTAGTTCGATCAGATTCGATTGCTAAAATAAGATTCAGGTTGTTTAGTAATAAGATTCTACTTTAGATGAGAATGAATCGTCTGTGTGAATCATTGAAGAATTACATGAAATGTGAAAATCAAATGAAAAAGCTTGTTAGCGCAGCCCCTTTGGGACTAAAATGTGGAACTCACAGATATCCCTTCGGCTTACTAAAATAATTCAAAATAGTTTATCTGAAAAATCTACCCTGATTTCCAAAACCTATAATTAGGTCATTGTCTATTTGCTTATGTCTACAATCGAGTATTAATTATTAACTGGTATATTTAGCAATGGCAGATTCTAGTTTCTACGGTCTCTAATGGTTTCCTAAGCTAGTTACTATGGTCTGTAAAGGGTAACCATTGCGTTTTTCGTGTAGTCTGTAATTAAAAAAGGAAGAAATAGCAACCTAATTTGTCAAGCTCATAATTAGCACAATTTTAAACTAATTAATGTCTGTAATGGGGATGGGGGAACCGCAAAAATCTCACTTATAAACTTGCACTCACCATTTTCTTCGGAAATATATGTGAGTTCCACAAAACATTACTCTCTTGATGCTGAAGAATTAGGCTTCAATGTTGGAAACAACCATAGAACAACAACAGCAATCGACAATCTGTTATGGACCAATGCTTTGCAAGCGTCGATCGAGAAATAAAAAGTTCCTTTCTGATTATTCTTGAATTATTTTTCTAGTAGTATACCATACTTGATCTGCTACTAAAATATATGAGAACTTCATGATGAGGTAATCTGTTTGCGCTGCGGGGATTTTTTAGTTCGGGAAACATCAATTGCCAAAAAGTTTTAGTACATCGTCGGAAAATATTGTGTTGAAGCATATTGCGAGTGACTACGGATGTGAGAGTAGGCAATACAACACAAGTATCACCCACACTCTAAAAACCATTCTCCTGTCACCATACATATTTCAGGATATTAAGAATCATTTACAAAAAATTGCTATCTCGAGAACACTGGTATAATAGAAAATGCTGTATTGATTGCCTGTCATTGCAAATTGAATGTTGGTACCATTAGCTGTAGATGTACAACCATTAAGAAATGGTACACTACTAAATTATTGCATGTTAATAGATTATTATTTACCCATCACCTACATCAAAATGCAAGAACCAAATGTTTTTCGAGAGAAGAATAGGCAGTATATATAAGAAATAGTTCTTCTTACTATTCACATTCACTTGATTCAAATTCGTACAAGATGCGTTTCTTTCTAGTTCTTCTTCTAATTGTATTGATCTATGTGACATTCATAGCCGCTGCTCAAAATGAGACAAATGCCATTGCGTGCGACCCATCCCGGTAAGATATATTTGCTTTCATCATTTATTGAAACTTGTGATCCCTTAGGTCAGTGTCCTCTGTATGGAATAAGGTGCATGATAGCATGTGCTCCGGTGACAATCCACAATTGCAAAAACGCCAAGCCTCCATGTTGTACAAGTGACGAACAATGCCCAAAGAAACAAAAATGTTGTCAACCAGCTTGTGGCTGTTGGAATCTGTGCACTGATGTTGCAACCTAATTCGAACTCATCAACAATTACAGCTTTGACTTATTTTGACCCTTTCGTTTTAATCATAAGCCTATTTGCTGCAGGTTCAATAATAAACTGAAACCAGTGTAATTCTCATCATCATTTGTTCTACGCGGAGGAACCAACGAGACACTGTAAACGAATTTATTTTATGAATTAGTTTACTCCAAATAGTTGTGTTAATTCAATGAAAAATGATTTCATTCAATAATAAAAATTACTCCTTTCAGCTTAATCAATGTATCCGAGTCTTATTTAAACCACGAAATTTGCAAATTAGAGATCGATTAGAGATTTTGAGCGTCAAGCGAATCATTCCTATTTACGACCAAGAAGAAAACGAGTTGCCAATTAAACAAGATTATTTTACATTGTTGACTAATTGTGAAGTTGAAGGTTTCACTAATTTTCTTTACCATGATTGAGTTTTAAGATGAAAATTTGAAGGTCTAACCAATAAAAGTGAAAGAATATACGGCTGCCTCAAAAGTCATTATATAATAAGATTTTTTTTTAAATTTATTTCAAACTGAAATTAAAAAAATCATTCGAGCTTTCGTGTTTACTCTGAACACATCATCCGGAATGACGATGTTAAAAGTTACATTGAGTTAGGTAGAAGGTACAATTTGAAACAAGAGAAATTACAATATTCGAGTATAATAACAACAGTTGTGGAAAATGATAGCGACAGTATAGAAATATAGACGAAATGAAAGAATAAACAATTGCATTATTTAAATAATGAATTCTTTAATAAGTGATATGAGACTTAGTAATAAAGACACCTAAACTTATACATGTGAAGTAACAGGTGGCAATATATATATATATTTGTGTTATGATATTTATTATTTTTGTTACTATTCTTACTTTATCTGATGTATGTTTGATATTCTTCTATTTTTATTTTCTTTGTTATTTTTATTTCTAATGTATGTTTGATATTGTATTCTTATTTTCTTTGTTATTTTTATTTTTAACTTATGTTCGATATTGTATTTTTATTTATGTACTCTCTAAAAAAAAACGTTTCTTAGAAAACCGAAACCGATTCGGAAACCCTCTCGGGAACCTTAAACCGTTTCTAGAGGGTTTCGGAGTGCTTGAAGCGTTTTCAAAGATGCGTTTCTGGTTTCCGAAACCTCGAAAACCCTCAGGTTTCCCACAATACCGATTTCGATGCCCTTAAGATATTCGACAAAACCTTTTTCTTGCTGCTTCAAACCAAACCGTTTTGTCAGAAATCCTTGGGGTATTCTAGGAAACTAATATTGCCAGAAAAACTGACTTGGTATTGGTATTCAAATGGGTATGCGACAATACCTTTTTGGTTTCCGAAGCCATTATTCGCAAACCCTTTCGGTTTCAAAGCCTACTAAATGTCTAAAAAGTATTCTGGAAAACCAAAATCGGTTTCCGAGTTTTTTCAATTTGTAAAAGATTTTCATACTTCTAAAAATCTTTGATAATTCAGAAAACAGAACATGATCCAAGTTCAAAATATCTCAGAAGGACATTTTCTCCGATCAAGCTGAACCGATCCACAGTCCACAGATTGCAGAGTTCGACATTTTATTTCAACTCCGTTCTCAATTTTGACGAAAGTTTGAAACAGGTTATCGATGTCCAGGAATCGAAATCCGTCATCATTCTTTTGATTCTAGCTTCCATCGATCAAAAATTGGACTGATCGGAAATGAGACCTATTATCCTAATATTGAAATTTTTTCCAAAGATTCGGGTATAGATTGGCTGACTATAAATTATCATCTCATAATCTGGTAATATTTTTCTGCGTCAGAGAAGTTTAACAATTGAAGATGGTGTGGGCATTGATGGTTTGATTTCTTTTTGATTTAGAATTTTACTGAAACTTCTATTGCTATTGAAGGACAAAATTTATATAATGGTCCTCTCGGTATCCGTATCTACAGTAAATACGTCTGCGTTGTGGATTGGTGGGTTCAGTGAGCCAAGTGGCGATGGTTATTTATTTTGTTTCAGTTTAGATCGATTATTAGATGAGTAAATGTTAAAGGCGACTTCGATTTTAAAAGTTATTAGGTGATGAAATATTTGTTTTTCTATTTAGATCCAGCACAAGATTAGCAAATAATAATTGTGAGTTCGATTTTAATAGTTAAAGCTGATGAAATATGCTATTTCCTTTTAGATCTAATATCCCATGTCGATCGTTCTTTTCACCGGATCCTGGAGACACTGACAATAAAGATGCCTGAAAACCACTGTGTCCTGTACGAAAACAGATGATATCATTAAAACTTGGTAGCAGTGTCCCGACTGCAAACTCTCTAGATTTTTTCTGATGAGTTCCGATCAACTTGCTGTATTTTTCGGGAAGATGCACAGGAAATCATGAGAAAAAAGTTGAAAAACTTTACGGGCGGGATACTGCTTCTATGTTCCAGCGATATCGCGTGTTTCCATACAGGGTACGGGGATTTTCAGGCGGCTTTCCTGTCGGTTTCTGCAGCATCCGGTGAGCGGAACGATCGAACCGAGCTATAGCAATCTGATGGTTCTCGATGCAGAACGAGAAGAAGGAAATTTCATTTCGTTTCTCGGTTTCCGAGACCTCGGAACCCGTGTCTGGGAACCCATTAAAGGGTTTCCGATTTTGTTACTGTCGGAAACCTATTTTGAGTTTCTTAGAATACCCTTTTTTTTAGAGAGTAGGCGATGAAACGGACATTATTTTCGATGTTATTTCAATTGTATGCCTGATAATGAGCGTTTTAATCTAGCAAATTACAGTAATTTATTATTTTTTTTGTAAAAGTCATTTAACTATTTTGATGAAAATATATATTTTCATGCATGAAATTGAAATTAATTAAAAATAATGTCCGTTTCATCATTTTAATGACATTTTTTTCATTCCTTTGGTTGTCAAAAATCTTGTCAAGTATTACAGTCACAAGATTTGCATATTGAATATAGTATAATTTTTAAAGACAAAGTAAATATGTATTTGAATCGATAAGATATCGTTCAAGACAGTCAATGTGTACGTAACTAATGTAGAGATTGAGACAGTCAAACGAATGACTATTATCATGTAAAACCAAGTTTCGAACACTAATAAATCATTTACTAGGAAAATATTCGACTAAAAAAATGAAATAATTCACTAGGAAACTATTTAAATTATTTCCCTGTATATGACATTGATTTTCTATCAGAAAAAATCGTAATTTTATTCGAAATGTGCTCATTTGATTGAGGATTAAATGACAGTTCATGTAATCATGATAGATCACTGATAGTATTTCTCTTCAAATAATAGCCATGAATAAACGTTATATTTTTGTGGTGAATGATAACGAGAACTATTTTGGATAGTGTAGTTCTGTATATGTGAGAAAATAGAACATGGAAATTATTTTATAAGTGCTCCCGATTTCAACGATATTCTTCTCGAAAACATATGGTATCTTCATCACATGAGGCAATTAATCGATTCTCTTGAAAGACGCTAGCATTTGTGATGTTATAAATCAAAGCTTAGTCATAAGAACGTTCTAGAAAATGACACCTGCTATTCAGGTAGATGGGACTGTATGTTTCAAAAGTAATGGTAATTAGTAACTGAAACATTTATCTAGTAAGTTTTTCGTTTGTTGATACAATTATCTCCGACTATCATAATTCGTTTCTCTAGGCTTACATCTAATTCGAATACTACAAAATGTAAATAAGGATATACATTGCTATGCAAATGAAACCAGTAACGTTATTGATCATAGAGCATTCATTTATCTTGTAAGCAAGAAAAATTCATCCTTCAGACTGGTACCATAATGATTCTACAATGCTATTTCTATTGAGATGAATCAAAGTAAAATTATGTGTAAATACAAATTACCATTTTGTATCGTAACATATCAGCAATGTATTGCGGTCGATGGGGAATATCTCATGTCGAGTCGTTCGAAAAAAATGGATAGCAATTACTCGATATGAAGGAGTGTCTTGAAATAGTTCAAACGGTGCAAGATTATTTTAATTCATTAAAAGGATGAGTATCACTATTGTCGAAATTTACTGGCTAAACATATTTTGTTGAAATAGTTATAATCCTCCAATATGCATCAGACTATTTTAGTGTTATCCCAGTTTTTTGTTCTTGAGATAGATAAACGCGTAACTATAGTATGTAAATGCAATTTTATCACAAAAATGTACATTATCAATGAGCCTTATTCGCGAAGACGTGTTGGCCACGCTCATGTATAAAATAGTGGCCATATTCTTTTACGTGTTGTTATGGACGGTGTCGTCTCTCTCATCTATCTTTCTCGATTGCCTTCATGGCATATGCCATGAAGGCAATCGAGAAGGATAGATCAGAGAGACGACACCGTCCGTAACAACACGTAAAAGAATATGGCCACTATTTTATACATGAGCGTGGCCAACACGTCTTCGCGAATAAGGCTCATTTGAAGTGCATTGATATATCAATTATTGTAAGGAGTAAAATTAAAAAACATGAAATAGAGAAGTAAAGAATCTGACTGGTCACATGTACGAGAAGAGATTTCTAATTGTAATGAATAACCTCATCGATGTAAGGATCTTGTTTTCTCAGCTAGGTGCCTATGTAAATAATATAGATTAAGTGTGTCTTTTGCTTTCGAAATAACTGTATAATATTGAAATCAAATAAATCTAAAAAATTCATGTGTAACTTGTCTGATACCAATGACACTATATATGCTTTTTCTTGTCTCGAAAGGTTAGTTAAATATTATAGAAAAAGCAGTCAGTAAGTGTGAATCAATGAATATGATCAGAGGATTCTTACAAAAATTAGTTAGATTTACGAAGAGTTTGATAGGTTTTTCGGAATTGGTCAACAAAAAAATACGGTTACTTTGCGCAAAAAAGAACAAAATATATTTTGCGAGATCTGGGAATCAAACCCTATAGCTATTCGTTCAGAATACAAGTACTCTACGAGCGAAATTCTGGTATTGCGTAGTTACCAATCAATGGAAATTTATTGATTTTTAATACTTGCTATCACACTCTGCGAGTGTGCAGCAATTATCGTCAGGTCAACATTATGGAAATCAACTTCAATGATGAGTGTGGACGTATTTATCATCTCTTAATAAACACTCACACTCACATCGTATATAGAATTTGTTGACCATTTGTGTCTAATAAAGAAATTTGCCTAGGATGAGCAGCTGGATTGCAATGAATTGTGAGAAATTGACACGGTGCTCCAATATTTTCTTCAGGCATTAAGTTCGATATTTGTAGTTCAAGATCAATTTCACTGACGGATATATTATATTTATATTGAATTCTAATTTAGTTTTCTAAAATTTTCTTTTTCTTTCTCCTCTTTCGTCCTTATTCATTCAAGGTAGGGGATAGGCGTTGCTTCGTAGGGGGTAGAAAACTAACGGAAAACAACTTAGGTGATTACTGGTCTACTGTGAAATGACGGTGATGATACACACAGATAAAGTTGTATGATATTACAATCATCAGTACATCTTTTCGTTAAAAAGTTGAGTAATTACTTAATGACCTATAAACTTTTAAAATGTGAAACTATTTTCGGATATATAAATTTGAACATTCTGCAAATACTAAATAAAAAGGCTACCGGTTTTGAGTGGAACAAAGAGGAATCAAAGATTCACACTTCCAGTGCATAGTGGAAAGATATTCTCGTCCGGCATCTTAAGTAATTTTATTTCTTGAGCGAATCACTACTACACTTAAGCATAGGTCGATCAATATAATCTTCTAATCGATAGTTGAAAATTTGCAAGTCATCACTATATAGATTTCTCAGTCGGCATATCATTTCATCAGGCAGGTTGACATACAATTGTTTGTAATCTTTGTTTGTTCGGTGTGTACTACCACGCCGTCTTTGAGAATCCCAATCAGATAAATTGAGCAATTTCAAAAAATACGGATAGTCCTTGTCAAATGTTTCATATTTGCCAATCAAGTTGTACCTTAGATTGCATACACTGCAGAGCGACGAGTATGGCTGCCAATGTGGATCGATATCACCAAGAATTATGTGATTTTGAAGAAAACTCGCAATAAAATGCTGAAATGAAGGAATAATGTTTTCACAAAGCCTGTTCTTTTCCGACAGATCTAAGAACCCATTGAATTTAAAATATTGAAGACAGATTGACTGACGCATTTGATTATAATAAGATTCTGATCGAATTCTATCTTTTTCGAGTGTCGCAATTTTTTCTGTATACGCGGCGGCGAGACGTTCAAACGGATGTCGCACGAATATGGCACGAGTGAACGGCGAAGACAGTAATCGAGATGCATTGGATAAAAATTCTAGATTTATGTATGGGAATACAGAGGTCTCATAAAAATGCCAGATATCAAACGATGGAGGAAAAGGCTTCACATTGATACCGTCAAGGCGAAGCAAACTAAGTAGAGAATCGATGAGATCGATAACTGTTGGAGATTTCGTAGTATTCCCAATGAATATCGAATGCTAAAACCAAACATCCTTGCGAAAATTAGTCTAAAAAATTGAAGCTTTATGCACCCCTACCTTTCCAAGTATCCTTGAAACAGCACGTATATGAATTAGTTTTTCGGGCGGTACTCGAGTAAAATCAACATTGGATCGATTGCTTGAGAGATGTTCACGAAGTTCACGTAGATGAGCATATGTGACGCTGCCAAGAACAGTTTTTGTGGCTACTTTTGGAACGGAACAGTAAGCGAATCGTTTAGTTCGAATGACGAAAATAAAGTAAAGAGGTTTTCTTTTCTGTCTGACATGATGAACAGATTCTTCATACTGTTTTTCACCAGTCGTTAATTGTAGACGCATACAATGAGCAATGAGTGATGCTGAACGTTCTTCATAAACATTAGGAAGCCACAGTAGTGACATAGTCTTCGCTGTTTCTAATCTGTTTTGTGAAATCGTGTCATTTTGCGAAAACTTAATGCAAAATAGAACAACGACGACCAAACAACTCCATAAAATCATACCCATAAAACATTTTTTAATTGAATGACCAAAACATAAATTTCCTATTTGAATAGAGGTCAAGACTTTCTGCAACCACAAAAGGCATATACATTTCATCGGTACTAGTACAATTCGTCGCACGACAATTCGTCGCGATCAATTCGTCGCAATCAATTCGTCGCATGATCAATTCGTCGCAGAACAATTTGTCGCGTTCTGTTCGTCGCATATTTTTTTTCGTTCTGTCGTCGCAGATAAATTCTTTCCGTTCTGTTGTTCGCTATCTGTTTCTCCCATCTCTCTTAATTAATTCTTTTTTTTTATGCAACCAATAAAAAGAAAATAAAATAAATGAGTAATTGTAAGATATGTACAATAACGATAGATAATTGATTTTTCTAAAGCAAATGACTGTTTAATTGGAAAAGCGGATAAAAAAAACTAATCAAAAATACTGTGATAGAG